GAAGTGAAAAATAATATTGTATTTTAATATAATTGATTATATTTTTGAAAACTACATTCAATGCTGATAATGTTAGTAAAAGAAATTTTTAAAAAATTTTATTCCAAAGACAAAATATCTTAAATTAAAATATTCAGATTTAGCCATAAAACCCAAAGAAAATTCAATATTTTCAATATTTCAATTTAAGATATTTGGTCTTTGGAATGAAATTTTTTAAAAATTTCTTTTACTAACATTATCAGCATTGAATGTAGTTTTCAAAAATATAATCAATTATATTAAAATACAATATTATTTGTCATCCCCATAGGTTAACATGCAAAATTGGCCTAGTTTGCTAAGCTGCTATGTGAATACCTTCAATCCAATTTCAATAATTCTTTCTTTATATAATACACCTCTTATCCCTCTATAAATCATACATTGGGATCATCTCTATATTTCTAACTGTTAGACCGATAATATGACCATTCCGAATTGTCCCATATTTTGTATACCACGTGACCAAAATATATTGACCGGCCATGCAAAAGATGCAGCGTATATGGCTCTATTGGATGCAGTTTACAGAATTAAATTATCTCTACTAGTATAAGAGATATGATAAAAACCGCATGGCGGGAATCACTTGACTGCCCCCTTAGTTGGGAACCGGACCTGAATCTAGACATCCGTCTGAAAAGCCCGTAAAACTAGCGCTTGATTTGAATAACGAAAAGGTTGTGGACATAGAGTGCGGACAGTGTTATACACTTGTGGTGACCGATGCGGGACAGGTGTACGGCTGGGGCTGTAGTCGCAAGTTAGGCAACGGCGACATTGATGGCCAGTCGCCGCCTATTAAAGTGACGGGTCTGGAGGGCCAACACGTGACGGCCATTGCCTGTGGTTATCACCATTCGGTGGCCGTTACGGACTCCGGCCGTGTGTTTGTCTGGTAAGCGATTAAAGTTTATTGTTAATGATTATGGTATTTATTAATTAATTTACTTTGTTTTTATTGTTTAAGGGGGTATAATCAGAGCCATCAAATGGGTTTGGGTCACAAAACAGACCAATTAATACCCGTTCAAAATCACTACTTTAATGACATGAAAGTGACCAAGGTGGTCGCTGGCAATCATCATACTTTGCTGCTCTCAGCTGATGGCAATGTGTACGCGTTTGGTTTTAATGATTATGCTCAATTGGGCACAGGTGGTTTTGATAAACACGGTACACCATATAACCCCCTAATGAAGCATGGTCCATTTGTTGATATTGTTGCTCAAAAATTCAACAATATTTCGGCCGCCGTTACGGCAAATGGCGGTCACTTTGTTTGGGGTAAATGTAGGAAACCGTTGGGCGCTCTACTCAGTCCTACGGGTAATTAAATAGCAATTTTATTAATTAAAACTTTTGGGTTGAATTAATTTATCAGTGACTTCTTGTAATTTATATCAAATCTAGTCGTGACGGGCGTTGACTATATACATGATATAATTGGATTGTATGCCAAAACTCCGGCCATTTATTACTTGATAGATGTAAGCGATGGCGTCGACCACCCGGTGCTCAAATGCCTTAAATCACTGGCGGTTACAGAAAATGTTTCATAAACTAATTGTGACAATTTTAGGCAAGTCTTAACTTATATCATATTTTACAAGAATTTTTCATAAATATTTCTGGAAAATAAAATTGTCAATTCTTTTAGTTGTCATAAATATAACAGGGAAACATATTTATTAGTAAATGATTATGTGACTTTCAATAAAACCTTGTAATTGTTAATAATGCAAACAGTGCTTTTGTAGTTTAAATACCTCTGTATATTATTCTACAATAATTGTCGCAAAAACAAACATCTTTATCAGTAATCTACATAGATTACTACAAATGTATATTGTTATGTACTTTTGTTGTTTGACAAATTTTAATACTTCTATCATAGAAGTCCTATGTAATTAGTATGTTCAATCATGTTAAAAGCGTGTCTAAAGCGACATATAAATAAATAAAGTAAAGTATTTATTTTTATAACAATTATAAAATTTTCGTTGTGTGATTAAATTTGATAAATGAATAATTTATTCTATATTATATTTAAATAAATGATTTATTACTTTTTTAGAAACAATACACTAAAATAATGACTACAACTCAAGATGTGGGATCAATTGAGAGACTACACAAAATCATTTCATTAGACAAATGGCTTGTATTCAGTCTAATGAACGAAGAATTTGTTCATAACATCCATTCATTCATTATATACGGAGAGACGGGAAGTGATGTGATTGTTGTGACCAAAGATGATGTGGTCTTTCATATGAATGTCAATAATATCACACAAATGACAGAATTGTGTGAATTAAGTGCAAAAGATGTCATCAAAATCAGCGCCGGTTATAAGTACTTGTGTGCACTCACTTCCGAGGGTGAAGTGTACACTTGGATTGATAATCAAACAGATCCAGTGCAGGACGTTGCATACGCTGCTGATAATTATATCATAATGGTACAATTGTTTTTTTTTTCTAAAAACATCAACCCTACTAAACATATGATCAAAAGTGATTTTATTATGATTACAGTTGGGAGACAGCGATCCATCGCCTCATCCAATCAAACTATCTCTCGATTTGAATAATGAAAACATTGTTGACATTGAATGCGGTTTACACCACACACTGGCGCTGACCGATGCCGGCCGTGTGTACGCCTGGGGTTATAATGACATAGGGCAATTAGGGAATGGCAATACCATTAATCAATATAAGCCTATTAATTTGTATGGTGAACTTCTATTAGTTTTATCGCCCGTTCCTAATTGACCATTGCCATTACACCACACACTGGCGCTGACCGATGCCGGCCGTGTGTACGCCTGGGGTTATAATGACATAGGGCAATTAGGGAATGGCAATACCATTAATCAATATAAGCCTATTAAAGTGGTCGGAGGTCTAACCGGATGTCGCGTGATATCCATTGCCTGCGGTGGAAATCATTCACTGGCCGTTACGGACACCGGGAGTGTGTTTGGATGGTATGGCAGAGAGTATTGATTTATAATTAAAAACTCATTTTTTATTATGATTATAACACAAGGGGTTTAAATGGAAATGGTCAGTTGGGTTTGGGTCACACAATTAAACAATCATTGCCCGTTCGGATTCAATATTTCAATGACATGAAAGTGACCAAGGTTGCCGCTGGAAAGTGTCATACAATGTTTCTATCGAATGAGGGTAATGTCTATACGTGCGGGTGTAATGGCAATGGTCAATTAGGAACGGGCGATAAAACTAATAGAAGTTCACCATACAAATTAAACACCATAAATCACCATGGTACTATTGTAGATATAGTTTCACATATAGATAGCACAATATCAGCGGCCGTTACCGCGAATGGAGTGTTATATGTTTGGGGCGAATGTCGGCAACCATTTGGCGATTTACTCACACCAACCGGTAATTAATATATGTTTATATTAAACATAAATGTAAATTATGATTAATATATTATTAAATTATACTAACTTTATATACAATTAGTTGTTATGAATATTGGTTCAATATATGATGTCTTTGGATTGTTTGCCAAAATACACTCAACGTATCGCTCGTTAGCAATAAATCTCTCCAATGATCACCCGGTGCTCAACAGTATGTGCGAAGCCTTCGACAATACCATATCATCTAATTTCCAGTTTGTAATCAACGGACAGTCCATTCATGTCATCAAAGAGTATTTGATTATACGCTGCAAACGTATGGAACCAATGATGCGTTTGTTAAATACTAATCAAACCGAAGTTGTGGTCAGTTTTATATTTATCTATTATATAATACTTTAACAAAATAAGTAAACAAATCATTTTAATTTTTAATATAGATTACAGACTATTCTTATGAGGCATTCAAAGCATTTCTGCGATATCTGTATACCAACGATGTGTTTGTGGCGCCGGATATTGCGGTCGAGTTATTGGGTTTGGCCGACACTTACGCCGAGACAGACCTCAAGCGAAAGTGTACTCGACTTTTACGTAATAACATTACTGTTGAAAACGTATCCCTTATATACGAGTCGGCTCTTAAACACTCGGTGTTAGAACTTCATGAAATTTGTTTCAATTATGCGGTCAAACACTTTGAAGAGGTCTCCAAAACAAAAGCTTTCAATGATTTGGATATTAATATTCGGATTCAATTTCTTTGCAAACTCACAGCAAATGCCAGACTTTTAAACAATAATTGTAAACATTAACAGTAAATGATTAAATTGTTTGTAATTATTGTTATCAATATTTCGTTTTCTACAATACAGAGCACACATTGTATTGAATACAAACACAAAGTAATAATTATTGATTACTTATAATATTTCTATATGATAATAAAATGTTTGCATAGATTACAATAATATTAAAAAAGTAAAATAATTAATAATTAATTTACTATAATTTTATAAATTATGAATTATAATTAATACCAAATATAAATGTCAATTAATTAAAACTATAACGAGTTTTGACATAATAATTAGTACCTATTAATAACTAACACAAAACACTCAAAATTATTATCAAAATATTTATTTTTTCCTAAAAATGTCATTTATTTTACAAAATGTGATAAATATTTATAATAAATTGTTTTACAAGAAAATATTCGAATTCTTATACAAACAGATAATTAGCAACATTTGAGATATTAATGAAAAGGTTATACAAAATAGAAATATAATGAATTACAATAGGATAGAGATTACAGTGGATTAATGTATTATAGCCAATAATCATGATTATTATTATATTATCAATTATAATTTGCAGTTTAAAAATATTAAATATTACAACAATTAAATGATTTCACAGCAGTTTAATTGAGATAATTTTGGGACACATTTTCAACATTTTCTCGACAGTTGTTTGATTGTAATCATTGACACCGAAGAGAGTAATGGTCTGTATTTGTGGTAATAATGACAATGAATTCAACACATTATCAGACAATCTATCCATAATTTTACAGCTTATAAACTGGAGTTTTGGGTAATTTTGATGGATATCATTGAAAAACAATTCATTGATCCGTATATTTAATAAATGTGTTAATTGTTTGCATTCAATCAATGCATCGCTTTTCATAACAAATTCTTGTGGATAAAAGCCTCTGATATTCAAACGTCTTAATTGTTTAAAGTATTGATTAATTGTCACAAAGATTTGATCCCAAGTCTGGTGTTCATTAAAATCAGCCCAAAGATCCAGTTTCCGGACTTTCGGACAATTAATACCCATTTGTTTCAAACGAATGGTAGTTAAGGCGTAAAAGTGATTGTAATTTAATTCAATTAATTCACTCATTTGTGACAAACCATCCGATAGTGTAATGAATGACAACTCATCGCAATCTCTAATCATTGAAAATTCAATTGATTTCAAACTCTTCTTATAGTTTTGCACAAATTGTTTGAATAAATCTATGTTTTTGTCGTTATAATAGAGCGAAACTTTGCGTAATTTCTCAAATGTGGGAACATTTGCATCACTTCCACACAACAAATCCAATGGATTTACATTATAAGCATAAGTAAAGTATAATTGCTGTAAATTTGTGCACAACTTTACATTTGTTTCAAACGCTTTACAAAAAGCGCTGCCATTGCGATAGAAGTCCACACGAATTGATTGCAATTGTTTGGCAAACTTTGCGAAAAATCTTTGAATTGAATTAACGTTTAGTTTATAATTACTGTTGAAATCGATATGACGTAATCGATGGCAATGTCTTGTGATTGTGTCTAACATATCATAATTGCCTTCAAATTGTATTTTTGTGATATTTTGTAACTTTTTGATCAGAAATTTAAATCTTTTTGCTTTCATTTGGACCACAATTCCGGATTCAAAGCGATAGTTAAGCTCTGTTTGTGTCTCGTATACCACTCTCTGCCACTGTTTACACACAGACTCGTATCGGAACCGCTCACAGAGTGACAGATAAGACAATATGTGTCCACACAAGTCATCACCAAATCTGTCAAAAGAGTCTTTAGCTCTTAAATCGAATGTTTGTCCACTAATTGTTTCACTTCTGATGAAACGAGTTGTTTGTCTATCCATTTGTGGATCACTTCTTGTGTCCATTTATTGTCCACTTTTTGTCTCAACAAAAGTCTATTTCAATGAATGACTGAAACAAATGAACACATGATTTGATGTAAGCGTTGATTGCATTCATAATTACCAAACATTTCAAACCAATCGTCAAATTGTAGGCATTTTTAGCACAAAAACTATAAATACTTTCAATTAAATAAAATATTAAACAAATTAAACATTTATTTAATTAATTGTATTTAAAATCAATGAAAACAAGTGTTGAATGAATTAAATGTCAAAACAATGTTTACATCACTTAATAAGTGTTGGCAACCAATCAAATAAACGCATTATAATGCGAGAAATGGTGTGAAAAGTGTGTTAACTGTTAATACAGCCCGAACCACAATATGCAGGGTTCATACAATGCTACAAAATATTAGTAATATTAATTAGCATTAATTATCCCAACCTAAAACAGTACCAATTTTTTCACACATATATCACAAAATCAACCCTTTTTGTGATCTATGTGCGAAAAAATTTGCACTGTTTTGTGCTGAGATAATCCGCTGTATAACATTTCAAGTCCCTGCGTTATAATAATCTAGGTGTACAGTGAAAGACTATATTTGTTAATGAGTTAACACTCTTTTCATAATTATTGTCATTGAATGCAACATTCATTGCAATCATTGATCACTAAATGTGCGCTAAATATAAACCCAATATTTATTGCTTAACACAAATGAGTGACCGTTTGATGGCTTGTAGTCTGTGTGGGAATCGCACCGACTCTTCACTACAACCCACGCATACTGTTGTGGCGATCACTGTATGTGACATACAATTAGTGCCAGACATTGATATTTATAAGTTTGAATAAATAAAATCATTTCGTTTTGTGTGTATTTATTTGAGTTTATAATGGATTAAAATTTTTGCCAATAAATAGTCATAAATTTTAATTGTATTCAAAAACAGTAATTATGACATTTTGACATTATTAATTCTAATTGAGATAATTTTGAGACATATTTTCATCATTTTCTCGACAGTCGTTTGTTTATAGTCTGTCTCTCCGATGATAGTAATGGTCTGTATTTGTTGTAATTTTGACAATGAATTCAACACATTATCATTCACTCTATCCCTAAGATAACAGCGAATAGACCGGAGATTTGGGTAATTGTGGTGAATATCATTGAAAAACAATTGATTCGTCGGTAAACACGATAAATGTGTTAATTGTTTGCATCCAATGAAAGCATCACTTTTTACATTATAGCCATTGGAAAACTGTCCGTTAATTTCCAAACGTCTTAATTGTTTGAAGTATTGATTGATTGTCGCAAACAATTGATCGCATATTTCTATTGAGTTTGAGTGCAACATAAGATCCAGTCTCCGGACTTTCACAAAATTAATACCCATTTGTTTTATACCCAATAAAACATTAGTCGAGACGCAAACATTGCCTTTGAATTCAATTAATTCACGCATTTGTGACAAACCATCCGATAGTGTAATGATTGACAACTCATCGCAAACTTTATTCGTTGACAATTCAATTGATTTCAAACTCTTTCTATAGTTTTGTGCAAATTGTTTGAATGAATCTATGTTTTTGTCGTTATAATAGAGCGAAACTTCGCGTAATTTTCCAAATATGGGAACATTTCCATCACTTCTGGCCAACAATTGCGTGGATCTGATTGCATAACTATATTGATAAACATGTAATGTCTGGAGATTTGCACACAATTTCACATTTGCTTCAAACGCCTCCCAAAAAGCGATGTCTCCAAACATATGGGGAATAAAAATACGAATTGAATTCAATTGTTTGGCAAACTTTGCGAAAAATGTTTCAATTGTTTTGACGTTTATCTTATGATTAATGTCGAGATCGATATGACGTAATCGATGGCAATGTCTTGTAATTAAGCGTAACATCTGATCGTTGCCTCCGAAACGCATTGTTGTAATGTTTGGCAACTTTTTGATCACATTTTCAAATCTCTTGGCATTCATTTTGCCTTCAATTACGACACTAAACGTAAGCTCTGTTTGTGTCTCGTATACCACTTTCTGCCACTCTTTGCACACAGAGGAGTATCGGAACCGCTCTTTCAATGGCAGGTAAGACAATATGTGTCCACACAAGTCATCACCAAATCTGTCGAAAGACTGTCTCTTTGTTGTGTCACTCCTGAGGACACGAGTTATTCGTCTATCCATTTAATGATCACTTTTTACACAAAACTAAATGACATTTAATTTGGTTTTAATAACACTTTTGAGTGAAAACACAAAACACGTGGAAATCAATGAAAACAATAATAAAGTGATTGAAAGCGCAGTAAAAGGCAAACACTGTTTGAAAGGCGCCTCAAATCACAACCAATTGGGACTCACTTTCTATTCACTCATGAATGCTATAACTGTTAATACAGTCAAAGCCTGTATTCAATAGTCAATTAACACTTTTCATTATTATTGTCATTCACTTCACATTCAATGCAATCATTGATCACTAAATGAGCGCTAAATGATAATGTTCAAATTAGGCCCAGAGTGCAATCGGGAATTATTGTTATAAATCGAAAGTACACTCTGTAGGAAGAACGGTGGTATACTTTATTTGGCCAGATGACCTCGGGTTTGGCCGCAGTGACCACTTTTATCGGGAAAAATTTGAATGTCAAATCTTGTATCTTATGAATAAGTATATCATATTATATATCAATAGAAAGGTATTGAAGAGTAGAATACAAATCCGAAGGAATTTCTCAAATCTGACATAAGGGATAAAAGTTATATCAAAATTAAAAAATTTAGTATCAGTTATGTACGTTTTTTATATTGAATAACGTAATTACTGAACATCATTTATATCAATTTTAATTATGCTTACAATGATAATTAATTTCGCAAATTTAAAAAAATAAAATTTTTTAATATAAAATTTTTGGGCCCAGCACCCATTAACATTGAACTTTATCCTTTAAACACAATATTGATTAACACAAATGAGTGATCGTTTGATGGCTTGTAGTCTGTGTGGAATCGCACCGACTCTTCACTACAACCCACGCATACTGTTGTCCGGCGATCACTGTATGGGACTTACAATTAGTGATAATAAAATCATTTTAGT